GCTTAAAATGGCTTCGTTTATTTATCTTCAAATCACCCCTTTTGTGTTAAACAGGAGATATCCATGTTGCTTTAAGAAACTGTTTTGGAAAGAATGCAAACGGCTGAAAACGTTGCTTTCGAAATGCTGTTCTCTGGATGCACAGACTGGCTGGTCTTGCCATTTAATGCAAAAGTTGCAGTTTTTAGCAATTGTGCCTTAAACGTACCTGTTGTTTCCAAGCTTTTATGATCCGGTTTTGTGACGACCAGCCGAATTTTGCAGCTGGGGGCTGGAAGAAGTAAGGGGAGCTGCCTTGGCAGTGCTGTAAACTTTATTTTTTTTTTTAAGATGTGAGAGTTATGCCTGCCTGCTGAGCCGTCATCCCTACCCTGACCTCCAGGTGCTCAGCGGCTCTGATGTCTTCCCCGTGGCAGGCCAGCTCGAGACCACCAGGTTTCTGAGCCACCCTGGAGAGACACCATCCATAGGCTGATATGTTGCATTTGACATAATGAGGGTCACCAGCAGCATAAGGCCTCTTATGCCATTGCTAGTGTGTTTTAAGCACTTTGGAAATGGACAGTCTGGCAAATATTCATTTGCACCGTGCGTGTTCCCCCCGCCCCCCGCTTCCCTGCTTGCTATTTCATATTGACCATGCAAGCCTATGGAAGTCCTATGTGCGAATAGCCCTCCTCTCTTTCATTTTATTTGCCTCTTACAAACATTTTCATTTTTTTCCCTAGAAAAACTAGCCAAAGGATTTTTATTTTTAAATTGCCGTTCTCTGTACTGAGACGAAGGGCCGGTCCACGCTGTGATCCAGCTGGTGGCTCAAAACCTCCTTATCTTCAGTGCTATCTGTTTTAACTCTTGGTAACCGTCCGGGAAGGCGGAAGAAAGATATATTTTGTTTGTCGATGAATCATGCCAGAAAGAATGCATGCCCTTATGCTCTGCCAGAAAGATGCAGGCCAGCTCTTAAAGACAAAAAGAATGCATGCCCAGAAAGATGCAGGCCAGCTCTTAAAGGGGAAGGAGGGATCATAACAAACGGATGAGGTCTTTTTTTTTTCTGTGCCAAAGAGGGCCATCAGGGAACCATATATTGTAACTATACTATGCCAGTGTATCCAGGCTCCGATTTCCATCCAGCTCAGTGGGACTTGCTTTAAACGGATGAGGTCTTTTTTTTTTTTCCGTGCCAAGGAGGGCCATCAGAGAACCACATATTGTAACTATATGCCAGTGTAACCAGGCTCTGATTTCCATCCAGCTCAGTGGGACTTGCTTCTGAGTAGATATGCATTGCATTTCACAGTTAAGTTATTTCAGCTGTACAGGAATCACCACAGATTTTCTGACCGTTAGAAACAATGGCGAAAATCTTGTGCCTAAGGATAAATTGGTGCCCAGTTCCAGGAGACACACCTAGCATTGTATTTCTGTTTTCACTTCTTTCTCGAGTCCTCTTTACCCAGAATTCAGTAAAGTAGATAATTTGCTTTGTGAATAGAAAGGTTTGTTTGTTTAAAGAAAAATAACCAGCAGATGGCTAATTGTAATTTGAATTGTAAACTGTTTCTTGTCTGAAGCAGTGTGCAGTGACAAGATTTCATGGTGGCTGTCGTTGGACAATGGTGGGCACAACATGTAAATTCACTGAGTAAACAGAAACCAGAATAAACCAAAAGTCCAGGTAAATAAAACCATTCTGTTTCTCCATAATTTTGGCTCTTGAATGGAAACCAGGGTCCAAAACCTACATAAACTCTTTAATGTCCATCAGGTGATTTAAGGCATTACCATCTCCAAAGTATGCAGAACGGTTTCCTTGTTGACAACTCTATTCATAATCTCTCCTCCGGCGATCTTTGTAGGAAACCGAAGGGCACCCAAACAACTCTCTGAAATTCTCAGAGGTTCGTCGCCCTCCCCGGCTGCCGTCCACCAAGTGTGTGCAGATTGTCTTCAAACATTTACGGTCAATAAGACGTTGCGTGCAAACATTTTAAACTGGGAGATGAAGCCACTTCTTCAGAAGATGGGGAAACGAGACCTCTGTCTTTCCCGGTGGCGGGGGCGTTAAAGGAGTAAGGGTCCCGAGGTCGAGGCAGAAAAGGGTTCAGGCGTTCACGATTCCGTGTTGACCCTTGAGCCAGCATCTGCTGTCGAGAAATGCCTCTTCACCCTCGCCCATCAGAATTTTTTTTTAAATACCCTAAGTGGGGTGAGCTGGAGGTATTTTCCTTCTGCAGTGCGAATTCCGGTGTAATGAGCGTTAGCAGCATCCGTGAGGGTCAGGGTTAGCGTTGGCTATAAGGGTTTCTCTTGCCCTCCTTTTATTTCTTGACCCCCAACGGGAATTCCAGGCTCCCCTGCTGTGGGGCTGACCCATAGCAGCCCATCACTTTTGCTCCATTGCCTCGTGGTTTGCCTGTCCCACCGAACAAATGCGGGAGATATTGTTTTTCTCTCCCATTGTGTTACATGGAGAAATGTTAAGACTTCAGCGCATTACATTGTGACCGGAAGGAGGGAGGGGGAATGCCCGGACAAATTGTGGTGAATTTATTGGGATGACTCTCTCTCTCTCTCTCTCTTTATTTGTTCGCGACTTATTTTTGTTTCTCTGGCTTCTTTAAAAAGAAAAAAGCCCTTGTATTTTGCAAGTGGGTGAAATTCGTCAAACCTTGTTACGAAACGTCTACCTGGTCGAATCTACCTTGAATCCGGGCCAGCATTTCTGCAGCAGAATGTGAACCTGGCAGATGAAAATGTCCCAACTTGTATATGGATTAAAAGGGGGGGGGGAATATTTGGCCACAGAAGGGGTATTTTGTAGTGCTTCGTTTAAAAAACAAACAAACAGAATGGAACAATTAATTCTGTAGCAAAGACTTTTAAATGTAGCTTTGGAAGCAGGCAAACGGGGTCATGTATAAAACACGTGACTTACATAGATGTTGGCAGTTATGTTTGTCGTGGTATCTGGTTCAGAACATAAAGTAGAAAATGTAATTATTGTTGGCAAGCTCTTCTTTATGGCAAACTGGATTGAGTTGGTTCTCTTCCGAAGTGGGAGACAAAACGTCCTTGTTGAGTATGATCTAGAAAGAGAATCCAGATACGTCAGGAAGCCCAGCCAGCGTTTGGAATTAAATTTTTTTATAGATAGTGAGTTACTGGTAATTAGTTCTCATGCTGCAACAAGTAACTAAGTTACATTAGGGTTTTAACTTAGCAACAGATAACTTTCAACTGCTCTTGAGTTGTAAATAAGGTTTTACTATAAAATGGCATATGAAAAGCTGTAAAGACCTGGAAGTAACGTTCAAAAATTAAGGCAGGCGGCCTCTGGTTTGATCTGAGATAAATTTTCAATTTTTCCTGCTGAAAATTGGAAACTTTAGGGACTGGGGAGAACACACTCCAGTGAAATATTTACTCTTTTGAAAAGAATTAAATGCTGTTAAAGGAAACATTTTCATCACTCGAAGAGACCAGCATAATAGAAAGCCATGCGTGTCAGAAAAACCTATAGAATATATATCATATATATGATTCATTTCCTCATATACAGTACTGGATGCTGTCCTCCTTGTGAACCGAGTTCAAATGCACAGCTCTGTTGATTAGAGGTTTTATTTACAATTTTGTTTTTACAAAATTTAGGCTTATACATTTTGAAATTTCATAATTATATCAAATTGAGACATGCTATGTGCTGACTGCATTATGAATGCAGCATTTATGTTGCTCGAGCAGTACAATAAGTTCTAGGTGTGATATGAGAATAAATGTATATTTCAATTCCTTACCCCCAATTCTTTTTTTTTTTCCGGAAAAATAAAATAAAATCGGGGAGGAGAACACAGGAATTTTCCCTCGCAGTTTCAAAATTTCTGGGTGGAATCACAGAATCCTAGAATCATAGAATAGTGACATTGGAAGGGCCCTCTAAGGCCATCTAGTCCAACCCCCTGCTCAATGCAGGAATTCAAGTCAAAGGAGATCTGCCAGGTGGTTGTCTAAACTTTGCCTTGACAGAAAATCCGAGAACTTAAGCCCCCATTCCTGATATTGAACTACTTTCCAGGGGCTGTGGAGCTACGGATGTAACACATTACTTTTGAACACCAGACTTTCCCATGTTCGGTCTTCTGCTCATTCCGTGCTCGATGCAGGAATTCAAGTCAAAGGACATTTGCCAGGTGGTTGTCTAAACTTTGGCTTGACTGAGAGTCCCAGGATTTAAGACTCAATCCCTGATATTGAACTACCTTCCAAGGACTTTGGAACTACGGATGTAACACATTACTTTTGAAGACCGACCTTTCCCATGTTCGGTCTTCTGCTCATTCCAGTGGCAGAAATTTTAAGCGTGGGCTCAAATTTCATTCAGTGACATTTCCGGCCGGTTAGGACTGCCTCGTGTCTTTCTGAAAGTCCTGCCTTTCTTTCCGCGGAGGTTAATCTGGTGCAGGAAAAACAAGGGAAGAGTCTTGGGGCCATTTTAAAAGAAATGACATTGATTATGATACAATAAGCTTTTTGTGGATTAGTGTCTGGCCCTCGGACGCCTGAAGTTTGTTCCTGATCCGACTTGTTGTTGAGGGGTGGGGTGGAAGAACCCAGCGCAAACCTCCCCATTGTCAACACGCCGTCGAGCTGTTTAATGCAAAATCTGAACACTTGCTTTGATGCGTCTTTCAAGCATTTAATAAATGAAACAAGGTTGAGAATGTTTTAAGGTTGGGAGGGGAGAATTGCAATATATCTAATACTTATTTTCATATCCAATCTAAAGCATAGGTTATTAGTTTAGCAGCGTAGTCCTTTTCCAACGACACCTTCAGAAACATTTTGTGTTGACTGTCAGGCCCATTTTGAAAGGGGTCTTTGACCGGCCAACCCATTGCCCTTTTCCTTTGGGACTCTGTGCTGCATCAAGGAGATGAGATTGTAATAATGCACTTCGGAATGACACAAGGGCCTCTTCTCTTCCCCTTGTACAGTTTGCTCAGCGAGAGCGAGAAGCGTCCTTTCGTAGAGGAGGCAGAGCGCCTGAGAGTCCAGCATAAGAAGGATCATCCTGATTATAAATATCAGCCACGGCGGAGGAAAAGCGTCAAAGCGGGCCAGAGCGACTCGGACTCAGGGGCTGAACTGAGCCATCACAACGGCAACCAGATCTACAAAGCGGACGCCGGGCTGGGATCCATGAGCGAAACGCATCACCACGGTGACCACGCAGGTGAGCATCGGGGAAGGAGGGGATGCTCAACGGTAAAGGATGTGTTCTGGTTATACCAGGCTCCCATGTGCCCTTAGATGCATCCCTTGAGGAAGGATCAGGCCCCAGGTGGTGAGAAACCCCACTGCCTTGGTTAATCGTCAAAACAGCATCTCTTGAGTCATCCTAAAGATTGCTCGTTCCCATTTATTTCAACTCGAATGATTGGCTGTAGCAATCTGCGCTGTTTGTTTCTCATTGTGTGGTCGAAGGATACAAACTTCCTGCATTGTCTCGAGCGTTCTGCTGTCTTGATCTTTTTTATTCACTTGTTTCGAGGATTTCCTCGGATCGCTTGATCCGAAAGACAAAAAAGAATAAAGCAGTGGCTCGTGGCTTTCTTTAACTGACCTCATTAGGGGAGCAGTAAGTTGATGAAGCAATTAGTCCACCTGGAATGTTGTGTGATGTAATCGCGTTGAGTGTATATTACCGTATGCAATTGTTGTCAGTACGCCGTTCGTAGCCTGGAGAGGGCAGGACGCGTTTTCCTGTTACAAGTTTGATCCGTTATTGTTTTATTAAAGTTTTTACTTAGAAGCTAAACCCGCCAAGTTTTTTGGGTCGATACAGCCTGTTTTACTGGGATTGGTCAACTTTTAGGACGAAACAAGTTCCATTGGACATACAAAGCTTTTGTGAGCTGTAACTCGGGCAGGTCCTCCGACGAGTACAGTTTAATTCAACAGACGAGCTTTTATAAATAAGCATGAATCGTGGAAGAGTGTTTATAGGACTAGAGATGGGCGCGAACCACCGGTTCGTGCTGGTTTGTTTGTCAGCTGAACAAGGATTCGGTGCTTTGCAGGGATCTGGGTGTCCACTTGGGGGCAGCATACAGAAGAGGCGGGGCAAGGAAGCCGAGGCAGGGCCTCCGATTGGGTGCCCACTAGAGGAGGTGGGGCTCTGTATAGAAACGCAAAAAGATCTAATACGGTGATGCTAAACAGTGGTTGTGGGGCATCTTTAACCTTCAGCAGAGGGTGGCAAGTAGAGTTCTTAATGGGGAAGGTCATTAAAGGGTCATGACAAATACATCCAAGCCTCATTAAGCAGATTAACGTATATATGGTAGAGAAAAAACAGTGCAACCTATTGATCTAACCCCCAAAAGTGGGCTCTTAACCGTTACTGGAAGGTGGCCTGGCCATGCTATGAAAAATTAGCAGATTTGCATGATGTGGCGACCCAAAGCCATTGTCCAGTCACAATGGGAAAGATCAAGTTTAACATCTCAACCAACCTTGAAAATCGGGAATTTTGGTTGGAAGGGGCAGGGGGGTGGATTAGGAGGCTTTTAAAAACCACAAGGCAATGAGAACCGCTTAAACAGAGGACATTTACAAACATCAGCTGACAGGTTTTGCCAGTGGACTTGAGAACAGCAACCTGAGGTATGTGGGCCGGGATCTGATTGAGGTTCACGTCAGCGTGCCGTAACTCGCTAGAGCTAATTGCAGCTAATTGATGAGAGGGCAGGTAGCATGTCAGGTGTGCAAAGGGTCACATGACTGGGATGCAGCCCAGCACCCTTACTTATTAGCCACAATTAGTCAAGACAAATCGCACACACCTTCCAGAAAACAGCAATAGGGTTTGGGCCTAATAGAAAACCAGAAAAGCAAGCAGAACTTTCAATTTTCCTATTTTCTGATGGTATATTATTTTTTCAGTATCCTTGCTCTGTAAGGTAATACACCTCCCGCAGCGTAAAACCAATCTCTCCACACCGCCAAGTCTCGTGAGGTTCCTTGTTTTACTGTCGCCTTCACTGCGTCATCATCTCCATCACAGTTTGCCTTTTGTGAACTGCTGGATAGCTTAGGGGTTGATGTCTCTGGCTGTGGAGCCAGAGGTTGGGAGTTCGATTCTTCATTGGTCCTCCTTGACAGTCTGGGCTGGATGTTTCCTTCCAGCTGTGCAGTTGTAAGAGGATAGTGATGAAGTCCTGCTTCACATGTGGGAAAACACAGATGCTGTGAAGCGTGAGATCAGGGCTGCAGAGAAGGTTAAGGTTGAGATTCACATGATGTTAGGACTGACAGCGATGGTTTTAATGGCTAAAATCGCATTGCGATGATTGGTAAGTGTTTGTGAGATCAGGGCTTCCAAGAAGGTTAAGGTTGGGATTCACATGACGTTAGGACTGACAGCAGTGTATGTTTGGGTTATGCGACAATCTGAATCGTGCCACTCACCAAGTTGCAGGCGCTCACTATTAACCTGCAGTGGTGCTATCCGTCGTCCAGTGTATAAAACGGAACATCCAAATTAGTGCATCCGGGTTCACGGCCTGCAGCGTTTTCGCGCAGTTTCCTCGCATACTGGGTGGCGAAAATGGCAGCCGGATTTCCGCATAGCGGTGAGTTTTCCCCCCATAGGAACGCATTAAACGATGATTCCAGATAGCAACAATTTTCCTGGAATGGATTATCATCGCTATGTGGGGCACCACTGTATGCTTGGGTTATGTGACAATCTGAATCATGCCATTCAGCAAGTTGCAGGCGCTCACTGTTAACCTGCAGTGGTGCTATCTGTCGTCCAGTGTATAAAATGGAACATCCAAATTAGTGCATCCGGGTTCACGGCCTCTGTATTCCTCTGACCAAGAACACTCAAGCGTTGCGTAACTCAAGCATGCTCGGCTGCTTAACCTTAAACACCCGATCCACCCACCCTTCCTGTAGGGCTGGCCTCTCCCGCCTGGCGACGTTCATTTCTTCCCACACACGAAGTGGGATTGAAAAGGGCTGGAAGAGGATGAAGCCATGGAGGCAGCAGTGAATCAGTGGGTGAAAACCAGAATTCCTGGTTGATCTAATGAGGAAGTTTTCAAATGAAAGAGAAGTCTGTTTTGGTAAGTGAAGATGATGTTGAAAAATCAGAAGCCACGTGAAAGAGGAACTTTGTTTTCCTTTTTTATTATTATTTTAAAAACAATCTCTTATCATATTATGAGCAGATGGGCAAAAACTTGCAGACAGCCACATAAAACCACTGTGGTTGGTTGTACCTGACATCTGTGCATACCGATGAACTGCTAAACTCATTTTTTTAAAAAAAAAAAATCAAAATCCTGTCTCTCATTGGAGTCAACAGGAGGCAGAGTTCAAACTTTACGAAGAATTCTGGTGGGGTGAGTAGTGTAAAAAAAGAAAAAGTGATCATTGCCTAAGCCAGTGGTTGCTGACCTTGGTTACCCAGATATTCTTAGAATAATAAAGTTTTTTTTGCCGCTGGAGAAGCTCCCTTGCACCCTCTACTGGCCAAAAATATTTGAAAAGAAATGGAATGGTGCAGGCATCAGGGGTTTCTGACAGGGACTGGAAACAGCACAACATCTGGGGACCCAAGGTTGGGAACCATTAACCTTAAGCTGTTACAGCCCAGCATTTGTGCTAGATGTAACGTTACGTGGTCGACGGTCCAGCGGTAATGGGCTTTCAGCTTGGATGTAGAGCACATGCTTGCCGTGGGGAAGGTCTCGGAGACCATCTCCAGGTTGAGATGAGAAGCTTTGTCTCAGGTTCATAGACTAGACCGAGCCACATGGACCAGCATCAGTTTTGGGTGGGGCATCAGTGACCACCCACTCTAGATGGTACCCTCTTTATTCTGCACGTTTTGCTGTCCTGAAGCGCTTGCTGGAGTTCAGGGACAGCTAACGAAGAAGCTAAATCAGTGGGGGTTTTTTTTCAGTCAGTATGTGTGCACCATGGAAGGATGCAGGAGAAGTCTAAGGGGTACACAGAGGTATCCTGAGAATTATTGAGGGTTTAACCTTCCTTCAAATCTCCTCCTCCTCCTTGGTTCTGCTCTGCCAACTCTACCTGCCGGAGATTGTCCACTGACAGTAATAACTGGAAGTTTAGTCATTCTCCTAATTCTGTTTGCTTATCTACTGGTAAACGTTAATGATGTTTGACTTCCTGATTAAGATGAGCCATTCCCTACTCCCATATCCTATTTCCATTTCTTTAATAATCAATCGATGTAGTAATGGAATACCTGTGAACACATTCTCCCTGGGGGAAAGTGGGCCATGATGTTCTCGTCCTGCCGACCCTTGGTAAATTGATTTGTGTGGCATCAAGATGACGGGAGAGCCCTTAAGCTAAACAGGTTGCCTTTCCAGAGTTAACAGTCTTTGCCATCTGCTTTGTCTCCAGGGCAAACCCACGGGCCCCCTACCCCGCCGACCACCCCGAAGACGGACCTCCACCACGGGAGCAAGCAAGAGATGAAGCACGAGGGGCGCCGGCTGGTGGAGAGCGGGCGCCAGAACATCGACTTCAGCAACGTGGACATCTCGGAGCTGAGCAGCGAGGTCATCAACAACATGGAGACCTTTGACGTCCACGAGTTCGACCAGTATCTGCCGCTCAATGGCCACTCCGCCATGCCTTCCGATCATGGGCAGAGCGCCACGGCGGGCTCTTACGGGACCTCATACGCTCATTCGGCCAACGGCGGGAGCGGAGGAGGAGCACAGGTGTGGACTCACAAGAGCCCGGCGTCGGCCTCCCCGTCGTCCAGCGAAACCGGGCAGCAGAGGCCCCACATCAAGACGGAACAGCTGAGCCCCAGTCATTACAGCGACCAGTCCCACAGCTCCCCGACGCACTCCGACTATGGCTCGTACAGCGCGCAGGGTTGTGCCACGACCGTGTCTTCTTCGGCTTCGGCCACGGCCTCCTTCTCCAGCTCCCCGTGTGACTACACGGACCTCCAGAATTCTAGCTACTACAACCCGTACCCGGGCTACCCGTCTGGCATTTATCAATACCCCTACTTCCATTCCTCCCGTCGGCCCTACGCCACCCCGATCCTTAACAGCCTGTCGATCCCGCCTTCGCACAGCCCCACGGCGAACTGGGACCAGCCGGTCTACACGACGCTGACGAGACCTTGAAAAAGGGACAGAGAGGGACTGGCGATTTTTTGAGGTCTTCCCCTAATTCCACTCCCCCTCCAAAAAAAAAAAGTATGCACTATAAACAGAAATGGAATGATGGGAGCAAATCCATGATGGAACAATGCTTCATTGTCCTAAGTGCCTCTGGGGTTTGTTTGTTTTGAATGACTGGACATTCCCTCCGAAAGTCTTTTAAATT